GCAGCGACACGAGACAGACGGAATGCCAGCAGCACGGAGTCCTTGATTGCTTGTGAGCATCAGTGGACGACGGTACTCCAAGACATGATCTTTGTGCCTACAGAAGCGCAGGCAGACCCGACACCGGCGGAGGCAGAGAGAAGTAACCTGGCTAACTTGCTGTTGGGCATGATGAGAGGTATTATGTGGAACAATACACTGCTGCAGTCACATCTGCGCACGGACGTAACGCAGCGACAGACGTACAAGAACGACATTTCTGTGTTATCAACTGCAATCCGCGCAGAGGCAACGCAGCAGCASCAACAKCATCAACTGTTGAATTCCACTATCACACGCATCAACAGCATAGAGGCTAACGCCTCARCAGCACCAGGCTGCACGACAGACGTGACGAAACAACTCAATGAGCGCATCGATCACGTCGTCACCATCATCGGCGACATAAGTACTTTCAACGGACCAGACTCGATCAGCAGCWCGGTGGCCGCCATCAAGACGGACATCACCAAGMTACAGACGAGACCGGAAGCCGCTACGAAAACGTTCAAGATGCCGCACTTCGACATCAGCAAGTTCGACGACTACAACAAGTCGGACGCCTTGACATGGTGGCAACGTTTCCTCACGGAAGCATCATGCCGCACTGTCCCTGCAGACGACATGATGAAGGCACTCTACYTSCAAYTGATTGGAGGAGCGCAGGCATGGATGAACCACCTGGCGGCTACCCACAAGTGCACCATCGCTGAACTCCACACGCACATCACGTGGAAGGAGTTCGAGCAGCTATGGTTCACCCGATTCATGGTCCGCAACGTCGTGAAGGCGGCCATKAATGAGGTGTACACATGCGCTCAGGGGAACATGCCAACTCGAGACTGGACAACGAAGTGGCAAAAGATAGTGACCACACCAGGCTTCGACTTGACGTTTCCAAATCAACGATCCGAGTTCTTCTCGCGATCATGCGCGGGATTGCAGTCGGCACTCGGTAACGAGTACGATTATACCACATTCCAGGCCATTMTGGATCGAGCGAACTTGGTCATCCAAACGGACGACAAGGCCGCTAACGAGAGACAATCCCAGCCGCATTATGTGGCTAAGCAGGCCTATCAACGTCCGGCACATAACAATGCCGTGATTTCTGAGGAAACCGACGACCACTACGCTGCAGCAGCATCCTCGAGTGATGGAGGAATTGTCGCAGCGCTCCCGCCAAAGCGTCCCAAGAGAGTTCGAAAGAACAAGGCGACACAAGAGACGGCAGCGACGGGAGCTGGGCAGCAACCATGGACGGCATATAAGATCACCAAGGAGGTCTATGACCTGCGTCAGAAGTACGGATACTGCCTTTGGTGCAACGGAGTCACTCATGTGACYGCACAATGCCCCGAAAAGGGCAAGGCACGCGTACCCCGTCCAGCAAACTCGGGAAACTGAGTTACGCAAGGAGAGGGGCGACGTCTCTCCTCACTCCGCCGGACCCGGTTGCCTTGCTAGCAATCGATGTCACTACCGGGGAGCATGCGTTAGTCGCTGATTCTCGTGC